CTGGGGGGGGGAAGGGGGGAGTCCCTCAGCCCTGCGCCCTCTCACAGTCCAGGACCCCTCAGGGGATGTCTGCTTGCTGGCTTAGGCCCGATCCCCTGGGGGAGCTGGCAGTCAGACATCCTTCTCGCAGTCCAGGGCTCTTCTAGTCCAGGACCCCTTATCTTTACCATCCGCCTGCAATGGAGGTGGGAGAGGCTCTCGCTACCACCACTGTGCTCGCCACCTTCTCGCAGTCCAGGGCTCTTCTAGTCCAGGACACCTTCTCTTTACCATCCGCCTGCAACGGAGGTGGGAGAGGCTCCCGCTACCACCACTGTGCTCGCCAGCTGTGAGCCCGGCTTCTGGCTGAGCAGTGCTCACCCTGTGGGAGTGCACTGAACACCAGGGGAAAGCTCTTGTGTGACTGCCTCCTGATGGTCACTGCGTGTCATAGCAACTGGTTGTTCCACTGTTTGGTTGATTTGCATATTAAGGTTTTATTATATAGGATATACCACCCCCGCCCCCATCACTAACCCCTGATAACCACTAATCTGTTCTCCATCTCTATAATTTTGTCATTTCAAGATATATAAAAGGAATGCTACAATGTGAAACCTTTGGAGCTGGGCTTTTTGCATAGTACCCTTGAGATCAGTAAGGTTATTACATGTGTCAATACTTAGTGTTTTTTTAAAATTTAATCTTTAGCTGTGTAAAGTTTCAAGAGAGTAATGATAAGACCCAGCTCATCTTTGGCTCCATCACCAACATACAGGCAAAGGACGCAGCGCCAGTGGAGGTAAATGCAGGCACTTTTCTTGAGAAGTTGAAAATCATTATGCTTTGTAATTTGCACAGACTTTAAAATAAAATGTGTGTCCTCTTTTAGAAGATAGACACCATGCTGGTTCTGGAAAGCAGTGGAAACCTGGTGCTGTACACAGGAGTGGTTCGGGTGAGTCAGAAGCAGCTTTTGGTGCTTGTGTAGGGCTGCCTACTTAGTTATGATTTTGTATTGTTGCTTTAGTTTGATATTTAAATGTTTACTCCCGTTTGTAGGATTTGGCAGAAGGTTTATTTTGTAAGAGCTGAAAATGAAGTTCCCAATTTAAGTTGGTCCTAAGTGGGAGGTTGACTCACTGCCATTAGATAGGTTGGCACTGGGAACCCAGAATAGATGGGAACCTTCAGTGAGGCTAGAGATACTTTAAAAAAGAGTTAAACTGATGTTTTATAAATTGAAGTGTTGAAATTGATACACGGGTAGCTTTGATAATTCTCAAAGTTTTTGTAAAGTTCTATTATATTAAATGTATACTGTGTTGGGTGGATCTTTTATCAGTTGTGAAATTTATATGTGAATAATGTAAATGTTGCCAATTTAAATTATGAAATTTAGTACATAGACACAGTTTGAAGAACGACAACATTTGTGTAAGCTATACTCAGGTTAAGAAATAGGGTGCTACCAGATCACTTGTCTCCTGGGAGTTCTTTCCTGACTGTGTCCTCATCTCCCCACCTCCCCCAGATAGACACTATCCTGACTTTTGCCATAAATCAGTCCCTTGTTTTTATTACTCGTTTTGCACGTATGTATGTATCACTAAAGACTGAATTGTTTGGTTTTCCTCATTTTTAATTTTTATGTAAAGGACACCATGCCATATACTTTTTTCTGACTTGATTATTTTGCTCAACAGTGTGCTATTTTTAGATTTATCTGTCTTGATGTGTAGTTGTTTCCCCATTCAATGTTACATGATATTCCATTGTATGATGATACAAACCTTCACTATTTTACCTATCACTAAGGTTGGTTGTTGTTTCTGCTGTAGTTCTAGTAAACAGTATTAAAAAAAAATTCTTTTATATGTCTCCCAGCCTCTATGGCAGGGGTGGGGAACCTTTTTTCTGCTAAGGGCCATTTAGATATTTATAATATCATTCGAGGGCCATACAGAATTAGCAACTTAAAAATTAGTCTGCTGTACTTGGTCAAACATTTAATTAACTCACCCCTAATGCCTTGGCAGGGCCAGACCAAATGATTTTGTGGGCATTGTACATCCCTTAGGCCAGATGTTCCCCACCCTTGCTCTAGGGTATATGCACTTTCACTTTGACCACGTGGTGCCAGATAGTTTTCCAAATATATATGCACCTTTGATATTTCAAATTTTATGCTCAAACACTAAAAATCAAAGAAAATTAAAATTTTAGTAATGTATCAAATTCTACCATCCAACTACACATATCTTGGTATAATTTCTCTTGATCTGACTCCTCTTCATTACTGCGAAAAGAATTATTTTTTTTTTGCAGAAAAGTGTGAAAAATACTCAAAACTAAAGAGAAATTTTAACAATATACATATGTATTGTCAATATACCTCCCAAAAGCTAAGAAAATTACAAAAGTTGCTGAAATAAAATCCATAGGATTAAAAAACAAAAATCACAGTGAAAACTAATGCATACAGGTGGGGGCAAAAGTACGTTTATGTTTGTGAGTATGCAAAATGAAGTTTATTTTTGTATTATTTATTAATTTATGTATTATTTTCCATATGAACAACTACAAATCTACTTTTGTCCCACCATGTATACATATAATGCTTTTAACAAGCTATCAGAGACCTCCAGCTAATGAAGAGAAGGAGTCAGACCAAGAAAAATTATACCAAGATGTGTGTAGTTGGATGGTAGAATTTGATACATTACTAACATTTTAATTTTCTTTGATTTTTAGTGTTTGAGCATAAAATTTGAAATGCCAAAAGTACATACATATTTTGACATCCTTTTATTGCTTTAAGGTGGGAAAGGTTTTTATTCCTGGACTTCCTGCTCCTTCCCTGACAATGTCCAATGCGATGCCTCGGCCCAGCACTCCACTTGACAGCGTCAGCACTCCTACACCTCTGAGTAAACTGCTTGGAACCTTGGATGAGGTGAGAAAGGAATTAGGTGTCAAAAATGAGTAATGTTTTAAAGAAGTTTGGTCAGATGTTCTTTCCACGATTACCTTTTCCCCTTCTGTTTTAAAAATGACAGAATTGGCAGTTTAGCTAATACTTGTAGAATATGAATGTTTCCAAGTACCAGTGTCTCAGTCAACTGCACTGACCTTCTGTGTATGTGGAAGGTACAATGAAAGGTGCCGCAGAGATGAGAATGAGGCATTCTTTTCCATCCAGGGATCTCACCATTTTCTTGTGTGAAACATGTAGTGTCTGCATAATAAATTATATTTAAAGTAGACTATTAACACTTATGATGACTAATAAAATGTCCTGAGGAGATATACTGATAAGATACATTCTGAGGGTCAGTGTGGCAGAACCACCTCTCATCTTGAAGAGGCCCGTCTGACTAGGGTTGGCCTGTGAGGATAAGTGGGATGTCTGCAGGTGGGAAGGAGCATTTGGGGAGAGAGGGTTCACGGGCACAGGCAAGGAGGCCGGAGAGTGCAGAACACGTGTGTTCGCATCTCCATCTCCTAGTGCACAGGTTAAGACTCAACACACCTGAAGGTAGAATGAACGAGTGTTTATGCAAATATAAGAGTCTCTTGGGATTGTCACGGTAACCTGTTTTTGAGTGTTTTCTGTGTACTAGGCACTGTTCTTTGTGTTTTGTATGCATTAACTTATTTAATTTATTAGACTAGCTTTATTGGAAAGTTACTGATTGCTGTTTTACAAATGGGTACATAGAGATACAAGGAGGTTACTTGTTGCGAGGCCCATAGCTAATAATGGTGGTGCTGGGATTTGCACTCTATGGATAAGCCCTTAATACAAGAAAGGATGAAAAGGTGGTATTTATTCTGAATGCAGTCACCAGGGCATTACAGTTTTTGAGGATGGAGTTATGAGTGCTGGAATCGTGCTTTAGATAATTTTATCTTGGGATTGAAGATAGAGAGACCAGTTAGATTCCAAGTGCGTTGTTTGTGTTAATTTAAGAGGTACAAAGGGAGACTGATCTGGGGCAGTACATTGGAAAGAAGGGGAGTGACAGGAGAGGTCTAGAGAGGTGGGAAGATAGCGTTTATCGGTTAGATTGCGCTGTGTTGGGGCAGGTGCTGGGAAAGGAGACTCAGGGTTCTCTGAGTAACCTGGGTGGATCCCCCAGACTTACCAGGTTAGGAAGCCTGAGGAAAGCAGGGGGTGTTACAGAGACACCTGAGTGCACATGTTTAGGGGCAGTTCAAAGTGCAGGTTGGTGCTGCACTTGTGTTGCATAGTGTCTAGGCCCAGAGTGTTATTTTTGTTTTTATGTTCTTCAGTGAACAAAAGTTTTAAACTTTAATGAAGTATTTATATTTTTCTTTTGTTGCTCACTAAATATTATTTTTTTAAACACATGCAGTGTTGAGCTGTTTCCTATTAAGCCTGACCCTTGCAGAACCCTTGGGAGGGGGTTGTACAACTATCAGATTTCTGTGTGATTTGCAAGAATTTCTTTTATAACATAAGATGATTCCTCACTTTCTTGGAATTTCATAAACCTAGGAATGGTTAGTGACTTAATGGTAGCTGTCAGATCACAGGAGAGTGCAGAACACGTGTGTTCGCATCTCCATCTCCTAGTACACAGGTTAAGACTCAACACGCCTGGGTCTAACATATTGGCTGATTTCCCATTTCTAGCACCAATGAAGCTCAGTTTTGGGGCAGCTAATGGGGTAGAAGCTGGAAATAATATATACATCTTGTTCTGGTTTGGCTCTTAGTATTGACAAGATAGTCACTTAGAAATTTCCTGTAAATTGAGTTATAGGAATACAAAAAGGTTGGTGGTCAGGAATAGATTTAAAATAGGAAGCATCTGTATGTAATTAGTAACTACGATCATTTAAAATTCTTGTTTGCATGTCTACAGTTGAGAAAAAATGTTGCTCTTTATCAGACATTTGCTTTTTCTGAAGCATCACTAAGCTGTCTCAGTTCTTTGCTCTCTCATTGCTTTTCCTTCTCTCCCGCATCTTGGACCCTCCAATCCTGTCTGTCATACCTTCCTCACCTTACAGTTACTCTGTAGCCCTGTTGGGTTGCCAAGAGTGTTGCTGCCTTCTCTTCCTATGGTCCTGTTTGCACATCAGTCTAGCTAGCCCTATTCCCCATGATCCTACCTAGAGCAGAATGATTGTAAATCATTATGTACAGTTGTTAGACTATATGCAGAAAGAAATAACCTTCACTTCTCAAAAAATACTTGATATGTGTTGTACTTATGACTTTTTATAGGTTGTTCTATTGTCCCCAGTTCCAGAACTAAGGGATTCTTCAAAACTCCACGATTCTCTCTATAATGAGGACTGCACTTTCCAACAGCTTGGAACTTACATTCATTCTATAAGAGACCCTGTTCGAAACAGAGTGACTCTAGTAAGTATATGTAGATTAGGTGGCTCTCCGTGAGATATGGCTGTCACTTCAAATTTGTCAGAATGCAGAATTTGTCTGAAAATCAAAAGCACACATTTCTGATGACATTTAAAATATTTTGTGATGTGTTATTTCTTTGCATTATTTTACTGTGAAGTAAATCTGTTCAACTTTTTAAAGGTTTTTATATTATTAAAAATGTATCAAAAACAGCTTGTTCAATAAGTTGAATTTTGTATTGACATCATTTTTTTCTTTTCCTTACATGTAAGTTCTTTTTTTAGTGAAAACGAGACACTTATTAGAAACAGAATTTTTGTAACTGTTTTACAATTACACACATTTATAGTTTCTGAACTTTGGAAGTATTCGCTTCTGTTTTGAAAATGTTCATTTTTATATTTATTTACTTAGTTTGTAGAGGATGTTTTTCCATTGATTCTTTTTTTTAGAGAGAGTATAAGGGAAGGGGAAAGACACATTGATTGGTTGCCTCCTGCGTACATCTATTTCCACTGGGGCCAGGAGTTGAGCCTGCAGCCCAGGTACTTGCCCTTGACCAGAATCTAACCCAAGACTCTTCAGTCCGCAGACCAACGCTCTATCTGCTGAGCCAAACAAGCTAGGGCAAATATTGTTTATTTTCTTTTATTTTATTGAATTTTGCTTTGGCAGGCAAAATCTTGTAAAGCATCAGTTATTGTTAAGAATTCAGAGACTTAGACGCACAGATTCTGTTGACTAATTCTGGCTCGTTCCCTTCTTTTTCTAGGAGCTGAGTAATGGCTCCATGGTGAGGATCACTCTCCCTGAAATCGCCACGTCTGAATTAGGTGCGATTGAGGGGCAAGCCTGGATTCTGTGTATTCTTAGTTTGATTTGTAAAGATTTGGAGTCATTGTTGATTTGTGTTAGTAATTAGGGATATTAAATTTTTTGCTGTTATTGAAGCACAGGATGGCGTTTTTTACTTTGTGGATAACTGTGAAGAGCCAGGAGCACCCCTGGGACGTCCCCTTCATGGGTTCTGTGAGGCTGGGCGTGACTTGAAGGAGATGCTGGTTCTGTTTCTCGGCCTTTTTTTATGTGGAAGATACCACACAGTGAGATTACACATACAACATGCTTCTTGCAAGAAAATCTTGCAATAAGGAAGGCTAAGCAACTAAAATTGTTTTTGGCATACTTGATGGTTTTAATCCTAAATCTCTCAATTGAGACATGAACATAATTGCCTTAATTGAATAAAAACATTATAGTAAAAATGCAGTTAGAAGTGTTTTTCATACAATTGGAGTCTGCTTGAATTATTTTTGAAGTGCAGTTTGGAAAGTACTTAGGTGGAGAGTATTTCTGAACATAGAATAGTATAACTAGAATTGAAAGAATTTGCCAAGAAACAAAAGTTAAAAGAATGCCTATGTGACAAAAGAAAATGTATGACGTGCATTAGTTTCAAAATGTAAATACCAAAGCGCTGGCAGGTGGTCTCGTTTCTGGAATTTGATAACTAGGCCAGAATGACTTTTTTATTGTAGGAAATACCTTTCATTGGTGTGATAAGTGATATTCTGAGTTGGTACAGAGATAACCTTGCTTCTCTCAAAGATGTGTAGCCAGTAATCCCAAGGTTATGTATTTAGAAGTATGAGCCTAAACAAAATATACGTAAGTTAATAGCAGATTAAATTAAAACCAAAAGGAAATCCTGCTCTCCCACAGCCAAATAGAAGTTTTTATACTTTATAAAGTGCTTCTTAGCTCCTCGGGCAGTATCTGGTTTACACTTATTTTGGATTCAACCGTGACAGATTTGGTTGTTTTTCTAACATTTATTCCATTTGATTTCAACCTTTGTGTGCGCATGCACATAGCAAATTGATGAGAAAAAGGATATGCAGCTGAGGATGGGCCCAGTGACAGTGACAGTGTGAAGGGAAGAATCCTCTGAAGAGAACATAGGAGAATACAAGCACTTTGCTACTAAAAGCAGACCCAGGCCCTTCACAGTAGCAGCCCACGCCACCTGGAGATGTCACTGAATGACAGTGGAGCACTGAAACTGACACTCATACAAATGACACCGGGTCATTAAGAGAAACATGGTATTGAAGGGTCTAAGACAGAGAGCCTGGACAACATTTTAGACTCTGAATGCTGTCAAATTGTTCAGTGTTGTAAAGCTTTGGTTAATAGGAGTGTTCACTAATGGAGAAATCTCTTATGCTAGTAGAAGAGGCATATGTTGACTGTTATATGCGTCTGAAGTATTAAAGCAATTATTTCATATGAATTTATTTGTGTAGAAATTGTGTTTTGATACAGTGACCTTTAATTCATTGTCCATACTAGGAATGTTTGAGGCTGAAATGGGGAGCAATTAATAATTGTTGGGGCAGTGGATGTCAATCACTTCTGTCTCAGGTTATGTGGGCTATTTGGTTACCTATTTCTGATAGAAAATTAATGACTGAAAAGCTACCCCGAGACCTTTTGCAGATCCTGTGGACTTTAGTAGTGGGTTTAGGTTTCCAGTGATGGGTTAGGTAATGTGGCATCTTATTGGCTCTTTCATGACAGTTCTCTCTTTACAGTAATTGGCCTTTATATAGTCATCATAGTTTAAAAACTTTGATATTAAAAGGGGAAGAGAAATGCATGCATAGGAACCATACTGAGCGTAATCTTTGCTTTTAACAGTACAAACATGTTTGCAAGCAATTAAGTTTATCCTGCCAAAAGAAATAGCGTTTCAGATGCTTGTCAAGTGGTACAGTGTCCACAGTGCTCCAGGCGGACCCAGCTATCACTCAGAGTGGAATCTGTTTGTGATTTGTCTCATGAACATGATGGGTTATAACACAGACCGCTTAGCGTGGACACGAAATGTAAGTACATCCAATTGTTTTTCTTCCTGAGTTATTCTGTTGTTACCAATGTAATGTTTACATAAATAGTAATACAACCTTCAGACTATGTAGCAGAGCAGTTTAATAGGTGTACCGTATTCAACAAAATGGAATAATACTAAGGGTTATTGTATTTGTATTCTAAATCAAATATCATTTCATATTTAATAACATTTTACTAGTAATTATTATTACTACATTTTTATAATGTGGCAAAGCATGTTAGAGTATTATTTCTCATTTCATCTTTGTAAAATAACTGCAATTTATGCTAGGATTAGTAGTAATAGGCTCGTTTTACTGAAGAAGGAAATGATTCACAAAGCAATCACATACTGGAGATTTGCTCAAACCTGGGCCTAGAGTCTATGTCTGCTGACTCGTGGCTCTGTATTCCTTTCCGAAGCCCAGACTATTTTCACACACGAAGTTCTTGATCTGTGAGAAGGGAGGCTTGATTTGAGGGGGATTGAAAGTGCTTTAGCCTCAGTGTCTACTCTGTTAATGAGAGAAAGCTATGTCCCTCATCTCCTGCCCCAGAGACTTCCTTAGAAGGTCCTACAGAGTTATTTATACAATCAGCAAGGGCGTGCCTTCACCTTGATTTGCTCTTGGCTCTGGAGATGACTCCCAGAACAACCTTGCCTGGGTCACTCTGCAGAAATCACTCATTGTCCAGTCTGTACATTTTAGTTTTGTGTTGGCAAATCTATTTTAAAGATCGTTCGTTTTTCTTCATTATGAAAGAATATATGTTTACTGAGGGTAACTTTCAAAATGAGGAATTCAGAAGAAGAATAACACTACACAGAGATGGCCAATGTAAATTTTTTTTGTTATTGCCTTTTAGATAAATATGATATCAATGATCTTTTTAAAACATCCTTCAAATATGACCCATAATTTCATCATCCTCATAAAAGGCTACCATGTGGTTTTATCCCACCTAACCAGTAGCTATTAATTGAACATTGTTGAATCTGTTTTTTTCTTTTATTTATTAAATTGGGGTAACATTGGTCAACATGCACATATAGGTTTCAGGTGTGGTTTTCTATATTACAAGATCTGCTTATTGTGCCATGTGCCCATCACCCAAGTCAAATCTGTCCCCATATATTAGGACTCCCTTCTCTTCTCACCCCCTTCCCTTTGGCAATCACCACACTGCTATTTATGTTCACGAGTTTCAGTTTTATATACCACATATGAGTGAAATCATATAGATTTTAGCTTTTTCTGACTGACTTATTTCACTTAGCATAATTTTATCGAGGTCCATTCTTGTTGTTGCAAATGACACTATTTCATCCTTTCTTATACCTGAGTAGTATTTCATTGTGTATATGTACCACATCTTCTTTATCTAGTCTTCTATCGCAGGACACTTTGGTTGTTTCCATGTCTTGGCCACCATGAATAATGCTGCAATGAACATAGGGGTGCAAACACATGATTTCGAGTTTTTTGGGTATATACCCAGGAGAGGGATTACTGGTCATATGGTAGCCCTATTCTTAATTTTTTGAGGAATTGCCAGACTGCTTTCCATAGTGTTTGTACAGTCTACATTCCCACCAGCAGTGAATGAGGGCTCCCTTTTTTCCACAATCTCTCCAACACTTGTTATTGCTTGTCTTGTTGATAATGGCCAGTCTATAATGGGTGTGAGGTGGTATCTCATTGTATTTTTTTAAAAATACATTTTAATTGATTTTAGGGAGGAAGGGGGAGAGAGAGAGATGGAAACATCAGTAATGAGAGAGAATCATTGATTAGCTGCCTCCTGCATGCCTTACACTGGGGGATCGAGCCCACAACCTGGGCATATGTCCTGACCAGGAATCGAATCATGTACTGGTTCATATGTCAACATTCAGCCACTGAGCTACATCGACTGGGCTCATTGTAGTTTTGATTTGCATTTCCTTAATTGCCAGTGAGGTTGAACATCTTTTCATACATCTATTGGCAGTTCCTATGTCTTCTTGGGAGAGGTGTATTTTTAGGTTGTCTGCCCAGCTTTTGATTGGGTTGTTTGGTGTTGAGTTTTATGAGTTCTTTATATATTTTGGAAATTAAAGCTTTGTTGGAGCTACTGTTTGCGAATATCATCTCCCATGTGGTTGGCTCCCTCTTTGTTTTGTTGTCAATTTCTTTGGCTGTGCAGAAGTTTTTCATTTGATACAGTCCCATACATTTATTTTTGCCTTTACTTCCCTTGCCTTTGGGGTCAAGTTCATAAAATGTTCTTTATGACCAAGGTCTATAAGTTTGGTACTTATATTTGCTTCTATATAACTTATTGTTTCGGGTCTTATATTTAGTTTTTTGATCCATTTTGAATTAATTTTTATACATGGGGACAAGCTATAATCCAGTCTCATTGGTTTGCATGTGGCTTTCCAGTTTTCTCAGCATTATTTGTTGAAGAGACTATCTTTACTTCATTATGTGTTTCTGGCTCCTTTGTCAAAAATTATCTATTCAAATACATGTGATTTTATTGCTAGGCTCTTAATTCTGTTCCACTGATCTGTGTGTCTGTTACTCTGCCAGTACCATACTATTTTGATTATCATAGCTCTGGAGCAGGGGTCCTCAAACTTTTTAAACAGGGGGCCAATTCACTGTCCCTCAGACGGTTGGAGGGCCGGACTATAGTTTGAAAAAATTATGAACCAATTCCTATACATACTGCACATATCTTATTTTGAAGTAAAAAAACAAAACGGGAACAAATACAATATTTGTATTTGCATGTGGCCAGCGGGCCGTACCTGGAGTATAATTTGAAGTCGGGTAGTGTGATATCTCCAGCTTCGACCTGTTTTCTCAGGATTGATTTGGCTGTTCAGGGTCTTGTGGTTCCATATAAATCTGATGATTTCTTATTCTGTTTCTTTAAAAAATGAAATTGGGATTTTGATGAGGATTGCATTAAATTTGTATATTGCTTTGTGTAATATGGCCATTTTAATTATGTTGATTCTTCCAATCCATGAACACCAGATAGTTTTTCATTTTGTTGTGTCTTTTTCAATCTCTTTCAATAATGATATGTAATTTTCATTATATAGGTCTTTCATGTTCTTTGTTAAGTTTATTCCTAGATATTTTATTATTTTGATTGTAATTGCAAAAGCAGTTGTTTTCTTTTTTCTTTTTCTCTGAAGAGTTTTTATTAGTATTCAGGAAAGCAGTGGATTTTAGCACATAGATTTTGTATCCTGAAACTGGACTGTATTTGTCTATTGTTTCTAATAGTTTTTTGGTGGAGTGTTGAGGGTTTTCTATATATAGAATCCTGTCATCCACAAAAAATGATAGTTTTACTTTTTCCATCCCTATTTGGATGCCTTTATTTCTTTCTCCTACCTTTTTACTCTGGCTAGGACTTGCGGCACTATGTTGAATAAGAGTGGTGAGACTGGACATCCTTGTTTTGTTCCTGATCTTAGACGAAAAGCTTTCAGTTTTTCACCATTGAGTATAATATTAGCTGAGGGTTTATCCTAGATGACCTTTATTATGTTTAGGTACTTTCCTGATACTCCTATTTTATTGAGTGTTTTAATCATAAATGGATTTTATATCTTTATCAAACGCTTTTTCTTCATCTATTGATCAGATATGATTTTCATCCTTTCTTTTGTTATTGTGGTGTATTGCATTGATGGATTTGCATATGTTGAACTATCCTTGTGCCCTCGGAATGAACCCCACTTGATTGTGATGTATTATTTTTTGGATATACTATTGTATTTGATTTGCGAGTATTTTGTTTAGGATTTTTGCATCTATATTCATCAGAGATATTGGTCTGTAGCTTTCTTTTTTTGTGTTATTTTTGCCAGGGTTTGGTATCAGGGATATGGCCTCGTTGAATGTTTTAGGAAGTATTGCCTCTTCTTTAATTTTTTAAAAAAAATATATTTTATTGATTTTTTACAGAGAGGAAGGGAGAGGGATAGAGAGTTAGAAACATCGATGAGAGAGAAACATCCATCAGCTGCCTCCTGCACACCCCCTACTGGGGATGTGCCCACAGCCAAGGTACATGCCCTTGACCGGAATCGAACCTGGGATCCTTCAGTCCGTAGGCCGACGCTCTATCCACTGAGCCAAACCGGTTACGGCAACCTCTTCTTTAATTTTTTGTAAGTTTGAGAAGGATAGGGTTTTAATCTTTGAATGTTTGGTAGAATTCACTGGTGAAGCCATCTGCTCCTGGACTTTTGTTTTTTTGTAGGTTTTTGATGGTTTCAATTTCTTCACTGCTAATTGGTCTATTTAGAGTTTCCAATCCTTCATGATTTATTCTAGGAAGGTTATATATTTCTAGGAACTTATCCATTTTTTCTAAGTTATTGAATTTGGTGGCATATAGTCTTTCCTAATATTCCAGTATGATCCTTTGTATATCTGTGATACTTGTGGTGACTTCTCTTTCATTTCTGATTTTGTTTATATGGGTCTTTTCCCTTATTTTCTTAGTCATTCTAGCCAAGGGTTAGTCAATTTTATTTAACTTTCCAAAGAACCAGCTCTTTGTTTTATTAAATTTTTGGTATAGTCTTTTAGTTCTCTGTTTTATTCATTTCTGCTGTAATTTTTATTCCTTCTGCTGACTTTGGGTTGCTTTTCTTCTTTTTCTAGTTCTTTAAGAGGTAATGTTAATGTTGTTTACTTGGGATTTCTCTTGTTTTTTTATATGTTTTATTGATTTTTTAGAGAAAGAGGAGGGGAGAGGGAGAGAGAGAGAGAGAGAGAGAGAAAGAGAAACATCAATGATGAGAGAGAATCATCTATCGGCTGCCTTCTGCACACCCCCTACTGGGGATCGAGCTCGCAACCCGGGCACGTGTCCTGACCCGGAATCAAAGCAGCGACCTCTTGGTCCCTGGTCGATGCTCAGCTGCTGAGCCACACCGGTTGGGATCTTTTGTTTCTTGAGCAAGGCCTGTAGTGATATAAAC